ATAACCTAAAGGAACATGTTAGAAATGCACTGTTTACATGCAGGCATTTCTCTTTATAATAGCTTTCTCTTACCATGCGCACGAGTATCTGTTCATCTCAGCAATGGGAATTTTCCCCCCTAATACAGTATATACAGCAATGTGACGTCAAAGGCTCTTTAAAGGTAAGAAGACTGATTTTAAGGGTTTGATCATGGATTACTGTTTGTTAGAGTTTGGGAATTTCTGGATAAAATGCATCCCATTTATAATATGAATGTATAAGGTCACACAGATTCTCATAAATGAAATGGTTACAACAAGTACAAACTGTGATGTGGAACACTGGGATGTCAGTGGATGCTCCGGTGTCATTTTGAGGAACAAATAAGGAACTGCTCCCCCCACCATCTCTGAAAGAACTAAAACTGGGACCTTTTGAGGAAGTGATTAAAATTACCCTGGCTAGTGGGCAAAACTTAGTCAGAACAATGATTTATTTTTTTAGTGTACTAAAGCAGTTTTTGGTGCTAGTGTAGTACCATCTCAACATTACAACTTGCTATTCAAAAAAAGCTACTTTGTTTTGTGTAGCCTCTGCAACAAACAGGCAGAACCAATCAAAAGTTTGAACTCATCTCCTTATTTCAAAGGATTGTGAAGCTATGCTCAAACTTTGTTACAAAAAGTTTATTTCTTATAAATTTACATCAGCTGAAACAATCACTTCCATAAAAATATACTGTRTGCAATTGCACCACTAGCCCTCTTAAAATTTTACAATAGTTCATGTAACACTATTTTGTGCACCTGTTTCATGAGCCATTATTATTTAAAGTATCTAGAACTCTGTGGATATTTGCAAKTAGCAGCAGTTAGCTGTAGCACTGCACTTCTGGTGCAGCCCAGAGCAGGAATATTGTATTTCTGCTTAATGATGTAACGCAAAATTGATGTAAATGTGTAAATTTACACATTTAACTGAACTGAATCTGTTTTATGGCAGCAGCCATCTAAACACTCAAACTAGCTGCTAGCTTCTTTATTCAGACAAATTTGAGCTAATTTTGTTCAAACTAAGATTAAGAGCTCTTCACAATAAGGAAGATATTGGGTTCTGGTGGAAATGATAAATGTTCTGATTTTGGGTTGCTTGACTTGGTCCAGTCTGTATTTATTTTTCCTTTATTAATTAAGCTTCTGATCAAACAAACTGTATGGAGTAGAAGCATTTAGTACAAACAGGTAGTACGACACAAAAATTAAATTAATAAAACAAGTTTAGGAAAGTTCCAAATCCATGGATCCCTCCAACATTCTCAGACTGCAACAGAAAGATACTAAGTGCATGACATAGAGTTAAACATTCACTAGAGTGAGCCTGTCCACTGRTAGCATCTATGACAAGATAGAGGAGCAAAAATGGTTACCATACAGGGCGTCGACTCACAATCATCATAGCAACTTTAGAGCAGACAGTATGTCTCTGAATATCTCAGAATTCATCCAGCTGCTTCTGTCCTGTGTCACATCATCAATAAACTGTGACCCAGTGCCACGGGCAGCCACGCCTGCCCAAGCCATCACACTGCGTCCACCATGTTTTACAGAGCTGTACCATGCCTTCACCATAGAGGCTGGCTGTTCACAGAGCTCTGTGTTAAAGCACATTCATTGAGAGGTGAAGGGAAGGAAAAGATGTGGTAGAAAAAAGTGTACAAGCAATGGGGATRACCACACCCTGGAGAAGATTGTGAAACAAAACATCTTCAAAGATGTGGGGGACATTCACAAAGAGTGGACAAAAAGGACTGGACTGCTGCTGAGTGGTTTAACATTATGTTCTCTGATGATAGTTAAATTTAGCATGTCCTTTAGAAATCAAGGTCCAGAGTCTGGAGAAAGAGAGGAGAGACAGAATCCACGTTGCTCGAGGTCCAGTGTAAAATTTCCACAGTCAGTGATGGTTTGGGTCCATGTCAKCTGCTGGTGTTGGTCYRYTGTGTTTTCTGAGGTCCAAGGTCAACACAGCCGTCTACCAGGAAGTTTTAGAGCACTTCCTGCTTCCTGCTGCTGAACTACTTYATGGAGATGCAGATTTCATTTTCCAACAGGACTTGACTCCTGCACACAGTGCCAAAGCTACCAGTACCTGGTTTAAGGACCATGGCATCCCTGTTTTTAACTGGCCAGTAAACTCACCTGACCTTAACTTCATAGGAAATCWATGGAGTATYGTGAAGAAGAAGATGTGATACACCAGACCCAACAATTCAGAAGAGCTAAAAGCCACTATTAGAGCAACCTGGGCTATCATAACACCTGAGCAGWGCYACAGACTGATCSACTCCATACCACGCTGCTTTGCTGCAGTAATCCAGGCAAAAGGAGCCCCGACTAAGTATTTAGAGTTGTACATGTTCGTACTTTTCAGTTAGCTGACATTTCTAAAAATTATTTTTTTGTATTGGTCTTACATAATATTCAAAATTTCTGAGATACTGAAATTGGGGTTGTCATTAGTTGTCAGTTCTAATCATCAAAATAAAAAAATAACATTTGAAATACATCAGTCTGTGTGTAATGAATAAATACAATACACAAGTTTCACTTTTTAAATGGAATTACTGAAATACACTTTTTCATGATATTCTAATACATACAGTCTATCACATTTTAACAAAAAATTTAAATGACCATATTGCGACACTAGGTGTCAGGAACATCCACATTATAAACATACAAAGATACAGAGAAAGGTAATACTTGGCTAAATATTTTCCTAGAACAAATGCAGTTTTTTAAGTCGTTTACAGTTTTCATTAAGTTATTAATCAGTTCAGCACATGATCTAAATGTACGGGGACAGGATAAGAATAGAACAAGACAGGTGTGAAAAAGGCAATAATAAGTTATTCAGTGTGGTATTTTTTTGGTTTCTAGGGCAAACATTAATWGTGGTCATGCAGAAAAATAAGCTCTCATCTCTAATAAAGCTTCATACTTCCTGTCCACATAAAAAACAATAAAAGTTTTTGTAAAGTTCTTCTTCGAAATAAAACTCATTTTGTTATATTCCATCGACCTGACTTAGACTAAAAAATAAATTAAAATAAAAATCACTGTCTCACTGTTTTATGTGAACACACTGAACATGGTCACTCAGCCCAGGTGCAACAGCTTGACACCATGAGACTGTTATGTTCAGTCTGTCTAATGACATCACAGCAAACACTTAAAGCACATCTCCCTTAAGACTGGTCAACATGTTGGCTTCTAATTTCACCAACAAATGCAGCACCTTTTACCTTTATTTATGTGGAGATTTAAAGCTGTTTTCAACTGTTGGTGTTTGTAGATTGAAAAAAACCTTTTTTTTTTTTTGGGAGATCAGTCTAACACATCATATAATGTAGTGATGTTGTTAGATAAACAACATGAAGCAGGTTATAAAATTGCCATCTAATGCATATTTGGTATTAWTGTAACTGTTTTTGTTTTACTGTGTTTTTGATGGCAACTGTTGTAGCTCAATAATTTATTAGATCATAGCCTTTATCAGTTGATCTGGCTGCGTTTTCACTGCTTTCAAGCATGAATTTTCCTCATCAGACATAAACACTGTGGAGTAAATATTCAAACATTATGATTGATGTGTTATGACAGAATACATAGGTCTCAGTGTTTTCTGCGTCTACAAATGGAAGCTTTTATCCACAAATGCAAGAAACAAAACAAAAAAAAAAGGAAAATTCTTATTTCTGATAGTGTTGTATTTATAGTTATATTATTTTTCTCTATGTAAGTATATTGTGTATTTCTTTGTAAAACACATTTCTTGCATGCATTAACAACATGCAACTTTGTGGATGTAGCGTCTGTTCTCCTTCCTAATTATTGTACACCTTTGAGAGGCAAAGATGCTGTAACCTCAATCTCTTTCCCAGGCTGGAAGCCCTGCACCGCAGCTTGCAAAGCCGGAGTTCTCTTCAGTCACTCCCTTTTTAGCCTCCTTTTTACCTCCCTCGAACAATGGACACTGTCCCACTCCACACAGCAGCCCCCCAAACACGGAGTGAATAAAGTTAGTCCAACATGCAGCCCTCAAATCCACCTCGAGACTGCTGCCGGGCAGCCACACTGCAGATTTGTTTGTTAATAGTCCAATTAGATAATTGCCATCTTTCACTCCTTTTCCTCTCTGTTTCCCATAAAGGCRTGAATGGCACTCAAGGAGCGGTGCAGCTTGAAGAGGGCTTCTGGCCAGCTAAGGTGACAAGAAGGGCCAGAGACTGTTCCTTGCACTAGGCCACCGGTTTGAATTGAATCATTGTGGCCTAATCAATGGTCTTATTGGATTACTGGCCACTGCTGTGTTCAGAGATATTGTTGCACTGACAATGAAAATAGCTAAGAGTTGGCGGTTGGGTGGGTGGTTTAGTGGGCTGGAGGGCGAGTGGTGGAGAGAGGCAGGGGCCATTCCAGGGGTATGCGTGTGAGCTAGAGAGTGAAGACAGCCTAAGCACTAATGACAAGTTTTGCCCCCCCACCCCTTCCCCCATCCTTTTTTTTGTCTTTTTTTGTCTTGTTAAAATATGCAGGTTAAGATTATGAGCGCTGAGCATAGCTGCTGGGGTGCAATTGTTAAAATAGTGAAGTGGAGACATTAACAGCTGGGACCTCACCGCRTTGCTTTCTGACTGAACACAGGAAGATGGAGGAGAAAGAGGAAAGTTGAACAGAATTCGAGCTGCGGAGCACGCCGACATCACTGCTCTGCTGGAACAAGCTGGGTTGTCATCGCCTTCATAAATTTTGCTCGATGAGGATTTGTTAGTTATCCTTTTCACTTAGCTCTCTCTCCGTCTTCCCCCATCTCTCTCTCTCTCTCTCCTCCTCTGACTCTCTCCCAGTTCCTCCAATAGCATAGTGGTGAGATCTACACATTGCAGAGTTGCGCTGATTGCCAAAAGGAAAAACAGGATCAAAGTTCGCTGACATGCTGCGGCAATCAGGTGAGCTGCTTAAAGTCAGGGGGAAAATGTCTGCCCGCATTCTGCAGATGGAGGAATGAAGCACCTGGGAACTTTTTTCGTCTCTGGAAGACTCGTACCTCTGTGATTGTGTGCGTGCAGGAAGGCTTGGTTGCAAGACAAGACCAATCATTTGTCTTGATTCCATGGGCTGAGAGCAGGCAAACTGAGGGGGACGGGACGAGCAAACCCCTCTATCAAGACCTGATCTATTTCCACAAACAATTTAGTATATTCATGAGGTTACGCAAATGTGGAGGCAGCAAAATTACCGTAATCAGTTGAAACAGCGAGTGCGCATCCATGGCTATGATTATTTGGAGATCATCTATCAGCACGATGTCTATGTAACGAGGAAAGGGGTGCATTGAATTACTGTTGAGTTTCACTGAGAAGTCCATGATCATTGGGCAAGGGAGTTTGGTCAGTGACAATAAGGCTCCGTGGTGGGGTGACAAAGTATTTTAGCAAACATTAGGTAGCTGACTCTGGTTTGTTGAAAGGTGCTGTTTTGAAACGAAAACTTACACCGTTCAGACGATCCCCAGTACGGCATTCTCTGTAATCTCCTTTTCTTTCACCTGACAAAAGGAAAAACAGAGGCGGCAGAGCCGCAAGTCTGAGAGGATAAACTGAGCATGGAGGTCAGGTACAACCAAGAAACCGAAGCCATGGTGCTGAAGAACGGAATAAAGGAAGGGAAGGACGGCAAAGATTCCCAGGGCAGCTTGTCGAAAAGCTTCCTGAAGGAACAGCAGGACTCCTTTTCCTCTTCTGGGACCATCGAGAACTGCGAGAAGAACAGGGGGAGCGCGGGGGACCCGGACTACTGCCGGAGGATTCTTGTCCGAGGTAAAGCTTGAGTTTTTTTTCTCTTTAGAGCTTTGATCGTCTGAGTTCAGAGTTTTAAAGGTTTAATCTGAACAAATGTAGTCTGTAAAATATTTTAGAGATTTTTCTTACCTTAAACATACACAAAGCTGTAAAGACAAATTAATTCAAGTGCAGTTGTATATATATATACAAAAAATATATAAAATTATTTACAAATATTACAATTCTATTTAATCTCTAACATTTAAAATAAATAATGCTTAAGATTATTTCTTTTCTTTTTTTTTTTACATTTTTTTGTTTTATAGTAGCAGAATAAAGTAAAACAATTAAAAAGGCACATTTTCTTGTTTTGTTATGGTAACTTAATCTTCAACACATTTCAGACTTTTATGATTAAAAATAATTAATATGATGCTAATTAATTGTAAAAATTAAATTAATAAACCATTTTATTTTATGTATTAGTAATTAAATGTAATTGTTTTACATTTTATCATAAGGACAATGAACTTTAGCTCAGACGTTATACAACATGTACTGCATTTAATTTTCAATAAATATTAGCATCACTATCAATTTCAGCAGAAGAAAATGTAGCAGTTTGCATATTTTTAATGTTGGGAAATACTTCATGTAAAGTGTYTTACACACTGAGTGTGTGTGCAAACCAGATATGAACACAATCTTTTTTTATTGAGGTTGTGTGTTCTTCATGACAAAAAATGATTTTTTTCAGTGCAGCACAAGCATAATTTGGATTGTTTTATTTATTAATAACATACTTATAAGATGCTGGTTAGTGGTGATTTTTGCAAGATTTAATTTATTGCTTTCATTTGAAAACAAAACAAAAAAAACATTTGTAAACTCAAACTCCCTGTAATTCATTTACAATACAGATCAATACAAGTTTTGCTTTTAATATATGTGCACCTTTAATTTAATTTTGTGTCCTTGCAATTTTTTATTATATTCTGTCACTTATGTTAATACATTTTTTTGCATCTGCTTTATACTTTCAAGCCAATTTTACTGCACATATTTTAACAAAGTGTTGCCACTAACACCAGTTTGTATAATAAAGAAAAAAATAAGAACAATAACAAAAATGAGAGTAATAATAAAATGAATAATAAGAATAAAAATAATAATAGGAATAAGAATAAGAGAAGCTTGTTTATTCTTGGGAATATGTTGTATTCTGAATAATTGCTCTGTCCCACAGATGCTAAAGGTTCAATCCGAGAGATCATTTTGCCAAAAGGTTTGGATTTGGACCGACCCAAACGGACCCGCACGTCCTTCACCGCAGAGCAGCTCTACCGTTTGGAGATGGAGTTTCAGAGGTGCCAGTATGTGGTTGGAAGAGAGCGGACAGAACTGGCCCGTCAGCTCAACCTGTCTGAAACTCAGGTACTGTTTGGACCTCACGCCAGTGTGTTTGTTGTAAACTGGATCATACAAAGAACGGACGAGAGAATTATTGTCTCACATAAACCCAAATTTTCTCTTTGTGTTTTCTTCTTTTTAAAACCTAAACCAACACCCCCTTTGACCTTGAGATAATCATGTTGTAATCCTTTAGTACCTCTTGCTTTGTCAGACAGCAAAGAAAAAAATAATAAGAATTTATTTTTACGTGACACCAAAATAATCCTGCAGGGTTGAGTGTTTTAAATGTTCAATTCTGTTTAAATCAACCTTGAAAACCTACACTATAAATTACAGTTTGTATCAGTGATGCAAATAATTATTTTTATCTTACAGAAAATAAAAATAATGAGGTTTTATATAAAAAATTAATGTAAAACACTTAAAGTTCACTGATTTGAAATCGGTATTTAAAAAAGAGCTGAAATAATTATTTTCTTTTTATTAAAATAAGCATATTTTTTCTCTAAAGTGTTAATTAATTTAACTTCTTTGTGACATTTCTGGCTGATGTAAAAGCGGTAAAAAGTTCCCGGTACGTGTGAGTCCAGCAGCAGGACCATGGCGTCCATCATGACTGAACTGCCTCCGTTTGACGAAAGAATCTGCATCAAATAATCTAGTCCCTYTTTGACACTTGCTGATTTAAAGAAAAATCTGTTATTTCATCATTCAAACGCCTTACTTCACTTTTATCCCCCAATAAAACTTGAGCGGTCGTGCTAAAACAGCTAATCGCGGCGTAACGGGCAGCGTCGGCTTTGGTCTTTGGTGTTTAATGTGTTGTGGCTTTCAGCGCGGCTGAAGGAGGCTGACCTCCAGAGAAGGTCTGCGAGGGGTCAGCCAGTTCTCACAAAACCACAAGCCACAACAAACACGTCATTAACGGCGTGAACTCAGCACTAGTTGCTCTAACTTTTTGCTTTTTTWAAAAAAAGCATTTCTGTTTTTTTCCATTTGACGGGTTCCCTCTCACCCATCCACCTCACCCCCACTCCCACCACCACACACATCCATTCCTAACAGGTTGCGAGTGTGAAAAATGTTATTTTGCTCATAAAAGGTAATCTAAATACAACAACCTTTGCTCCCTCTTTGGTTGGTACAGAACTGGGTCTCTCTTCCACAGTCTGCTCCCCGTCCTGACGAAATGCCTTTAATGACAACGTGCTGAAATTAGCGTTTTGTTCTCGGGCACTAAGAGGTTGTTGCATTAAGAAATGACAGCCATTTGCTGGGCTCACTTAAACATTTTAGTCTGAACTACCGACTGCACCTTATCTGACTCTGCCCTGTGAGTTTTGCCTTTTTAAATGAACAAGATGCTCCTTCCGAGCGGGCTTTAAGCGGCGGAGGGATTTCTTCTTTTGACAAGATAGTTCTTGACAGCCTGTGAAGAGTTAAACCACCAACTGAGAAAAAAAAAGGAAAATATATCTTACTGTGATTGGATCTGCAGCAGGAGGCCTCGGCACATGAATAGTGTTGCTTCGTAAGAACCCACTCAGGTGTGAGTCACAGTTTAGCTTCTGATTTAACATAAATAATGATGATATCAGCCTAATAACTCACTTTTTTAATAGATCCATCATTTTATTTTTAATAATTTGAAAAATAAAAAAGGCTTCCAGTATAAATATTCTTTGGACAATTTTTACATCCTCGATTCCTGAGGTGTTATTTTCAAAATGTTTTTTTAATTAACCGTTTCTTGAGAGTAAAATTAGCCAAAACCATGCCGACTCTTATATTAAAAAGAGGTTAAAAAAACAGGCTACTTTTTCCATTCAAAACAGTTAACATTGAAGAAAAAAAGATACAAAAAATAAATAAATTTGGTAC